ATATATATATATATATATATATATATATATATATATATATATATATAGTGCATGCAGACTATACTTGTGCTATAACTGCCAGGAAATCAAAGTAACTGTACTTATAACGTGTATGCATAGGCAAAGCATAGCATTTTGAGAAGCAAGGAATTGTTTTACATAATCCTGTTTTATATTAGCAGAGATTTAGTGCTACACAAATTTATATTATGTATATTAAAACATAACAACACATTATACAATATTACTGCTGGCAGTAACAGTAAGATTAATTTTCCTTGAAGTATTACTGCTGGCAATGACAGTAAGATGCAGAGGAGTTTTTAAAAATCTGTGTTATGCAATATTAATAGTTAAAATTAAGAAATCAAAATATTGTAATGTTAGTCTAAAAATTTAAGTAGCTAAGTACTACAAGATCACAATGTTTAGCCCTAAATCCAAGGGCCAAAGTAACTATCTAGCTGTCATTTGAATTTTCTAGGATCAAAATAATTGATCCCAATATTTCAAAATGTTATTATGAAATAAAAATGGATTATGTGAATTCTTTTAGTTACTAAATTATGGGCTACCTAAATAAAAATGAGTACAAATATTTGATATAATAAACATACCTTATCATTTTCAGTGTCCAACATTTCTTTGACACCTGTATAATCTATATCAGGAATTATAAAACTCTCTTTAGGTTCAATTATAAACTTTTGCAATCGTAAATAGTCATCAGTTGGCATAGATTTTGGTTTTGATGCTTTCAATGTCTGACTGCTATCGACCATATTATTTATGGGTTCAAATCTTTGCTTTGGTGACATCATTTGAGTATTTCCTCTATCTTCTATTGGCTTCACGGTTTCCTTAACTTCCTCAGTAATGCCATTAATAGTTGTATCTTCCATAATTTGTGCTTCATTTTTGGTAACACTTCCAATCATGTCTTTTAATACTTCTTCAGTAGATAATCTAGATGTAGTATAAATATCATCTGCAGGAGGCTCCATAGTCTGTTTGGGTGTTTTCAACACCTTGATTCCTGAAAATACCTCCACAGGTTCTGATTTTTGCTCAGGTGTCTCTAAGAGCCTCTTGATCCCTGAAAGCACCTCGACTGGGTCTGGCTTTTGCTTTGGTGTCCTTAAAAGCCTCTTGACCCCTGAAAGCACCTCAACAGATTCAGATTTTTCCTTAGGTGTTCTCAAGAGACTCTTGACTCCTGAAAGCGCCTCGACTGGCTCTGACTTTTGCTTTGGCGTCCTCAAAAGCCTCTTGTCCCCTGAAAGCACCTGAACAGATTCAGATTTTTCCTTAGGTGTTCTCAAGAGACTCTTGACTCCTGAAAGCGCCTCGACTGGCTCTGACTTTTGCTTTGGCGTCCTCAAAAGCCTCTTGTCCCCTGAAAGCGCCTGAACAGATTCAGATTTTTCCTTAGGGGTCTTAAAGAGCCTCTTGATCCCTGAAAGGTCCTCAACAGGTTCAGATTTTTTCTTAGGTGACTTAAAGAGCCTCTTAATCCCTGAAAGTGCCTCGACTGGGTCTGGCTTTTGCTTTGGTGTCCTTAAAAGCCTCTTGACCCCTGAAAGCGCCTCAACAGATTCAGATTTTTCCTTAGGTGTTCTCAAGAGCCTCTTGACTCCTGAAAGTACTTCAGCAGGTTCAGACCTTTCCTTAGTTGTCTTCAAAAGCCTCTTGATTTCCAAAAGTTGTCTGACTGGCTCCGATTCTTGTTGCAGTTTTTCTTCTTCCATTCCCATTATATTTCTTTCATTTAGTGATACCACTAAATTATCATGAATGGGTATTTGTGACACTTCTTCCAAGGCTGGAGATATTATATCTTGATTGTGAGCTCTTTGGCTTGAAATATTAACATCCAAAACAGACTTTTTTTCTAACAGAAATAGAAAAATGATACAGTAATGAAACTTCATTGACTACATTAACAGAAATACACTTAAATGTGAAGAAATATTACTTAAAATAATTATATATTAGACTCTTTGTATGTTTTAGAATGAAACAAAAAACATAAAAACTAAATTACACCAAGAATATTAAAAACAAATTAAATCAAATTAAAGTAACTGTTGCTCATAATGAAAAGCATATTATAATTGGGATTTATCTTAAGCAAACTGAGTACCTGAAACCTGGCAACTTCTAAGTAGCAGAATGACCAAAATCTACAACCATCTAGGAAACCTTCTGCCAATCAGACTAGTGTATGTTTATTCCACTAATATAAATTGTGAAATCAAATACAGAAACAGTTGTATTTCTCTAACCTGAGATCTAAATTTGAAGCCATTAAAACTGTTGCACCTTGAATGAATCTGTTACCTCAGCTGGCTAATTATTTCATTTTCCCACAAAATATATTTACAGGGTTAACGCAAGGAATGATAAATTATGTCCTGTTTTCATTATCTCGTTTGGATAAGACCATACATTCTGTTCAGTATTTACAACTTGATGCAGCTCAGTGACTTAATAAACCACTATCATTCTCGGCCTTTGCTAATCTGGCTTGTATCCCTAAACAGATTCTCTTCTTACTTAAAGCAGCACAGTAGTTAAAGCAACACCTGAAATTCTGATAGGGACTGCAAGGAAAGACTGACCTGAAATTTCTACAACAATAAAGGAGCTCCACAGAGCCTTAACAGTTTTTTGATGCAGAAGAGGTTTCCTTTCATTCTAAAAACCAAACCTCATTGATTTGTAGTACTCTGGGATTAATGACAAAGTAATTTACGTTAAATGGCTATATGAAAGTAATTATTCAGAATGTATAGACAATAAAACATACCAGATACTTCTGATGGATTTATTTCTGATATCTGAGTTTCTGGTATAAAACTTTTCTGTTTTCCATCTGGTGGACTGCAGAACATTTCAGCCAACCCTGCAAATAGCATTTAAATCTATTAATGTTCAGTTAGCATGTAATGAAATGCAAGAGCAGATATAACCATAAAGAATATATTTTCTTCACTTGATTGCTCCCTAGATTTGAAATGCAATCAGATTCCAGCATTATTTTTAAATATTAATATTCACAGCATATTTAAAGGGAAAGGACTTGTCACACCATTTACCAGGATAAAAATTCCTCCTTCAAGCTGTTTCAGATTGTGGATACTTTCTATCAAACACTATCTTAAGAGCAAATTCTACTACAAATTATACAAGTAGTTAATTTGCCTTTCAAAATAAAATAAAACTTGTGATTCCTTCTATAGTGCCATGTTCATATAAGTAGATTTCTGTCAAAGTGACTTATGCCTATCAAGTACAATTTGTAACAAATGGTGTGGGCCTATACATGAATGTGTATCTCTCATAGATGTTTAACAGAACAAGGAAGAAGAAATATCATTTTTTCCTTATCCTCTATTTGATGTCTAAGATTTATTATGACTGCTGGATTGGAAGTGCCAGGCTAGTGAGTGCTACCTCACAATTTTTCCCATAAAAACACAGCCTTGTTTAAAATGCCATCTTGACCCATGAACAGCCGTTTTCCCAGTTAAAGAAAAGCTTTGTTTAAAGTAGAATCTTGGCCAATGAGCAATTTATAGTTTTCTATGAATAAAGAAATGGAATACAGGTAGTCCTCTCAACTTACTATTGTTAAGATATTTAAAATTGGACAGTGTGTAAGAATACAGTTATAGTTAATTGGTTAAAGAGAGCTGGCCACTGCATGAGGGAATCTGAGCTGTGATTGGTTGCCAAGGGTAAAAGGGGAGTTTCCTTATTTTCTGCCTTTTTCCTCTGTGTGCTCTCCATTGATTTACCTGATGATGCTTCTGTTCTTATTTACTGGAAATAAATTTATTTAAGACTACAAGCTGTCAGCATCTGTTTGGACAATTCCCTGACAATTGAACCCAAAATTTCTTTTGCTAAATGAGACAATTGTTAAGTGAATTTTGCCCCATTTTGACTTTTCTTGCTATAGTTGTTAATCATTGTTAGTAACATGGTTAAGTGAATCTGATTTCCCAATTGACTTTGTCAGGTCACAAAGTTAATCACATGACCCTAGGACACTGCAACCATGAGTCAATTGATCTTGTGACCGTGATGTTGCAATAGTTGTACGTGTGAAAAACAGTCATAAGTCATTTTTTTCAGTGCCATTGTAACTTTGAACAATCACTAAATGAACTGTAAGTCAAGGACTACCTGTATACTCTACTGGAGGCTGAAGGGAGAAAAGGAAATGTGCTCAGGAGACTGGGGCGAAGTCTAAAGATAGAAGAGATATAGATGTAAGAAATAGGTATTAAGGAATTGTTTCCTGGTACAGACAAACTTCTTTTAAAAGTGGACATTATTTTCCAGCTACAGCAGAAAATGTCATTCTGAGCCCAGCATTTTCTGGCCAGCGCTTTAAAAATCCTATAAAATTGATCCAAATATGTTGGGTATTTCTTTCTAAGTAGATTTAGAAACAAGGCACTATTTGTTGCAAGCCTCTTGTGAAGCATCTGATAATACCCCTGAATTAAGACTGAATTGTCTCACAAAGGAAAGGCTTAGGAGCTTGCTTGCAAAATGTCTAATTTCCAAAAAATAGTAAACCTTAACAAACCAAACCTCTTCTCTCTTGCTTCAGTAGAAAAAACTATTTTACACATCTAGATTACTGATGTTCTGCAAGATGTCAGGATAACAGTGGCATACAAGTAGGCCTGAAAGGCTTGGCATTCTACTTCCAGACACCCATTTGTATCTAGGTATAGCTGGACTACTTTGCTGAGGTCCAGATGGCCCACTAATTATATGAAAACATCCCAATGCATCTGGAACTAGGAATTGGTGGCTAGGTATCAAGCTATTAGAAAACCCTTGACTATTCCTAGGTCCAAAAAGGATTAGATGTTAATTGGAGTAAGAACCTTAAAGACCTGCTTGCTTAAAAAACTGAAACTGCTGTGTGAAAACAATGTCCAGGAATCTGTGGCAGTCAATTCCTATCCATTTCAATTATTTTCCCTTTTCTTTGTCTAACTGGCATGAGAAGCGAACAATAAACAGCATCCGCAAACTCACATCTAAGGAGTATTTTCCACAACTCAAATAATCATCAGTGTAGAATCCTTTTTATTTTGGAAGACTCAGTAAGATTTGGGGAAAAGAATAAAAATCAACTGAGGAGCAATTGCACTTTAATCTTTGGTATTTATTAGGGCAGCCCCTGCTGAAATGCTCTCCAAAACATCAGGCACAATGATAGTCTCTTCAGTTAAGCTTCCCCACAGGGAGAGGAAGTTACTTTTCAAGCTCTTGAGAAAAAAAAGTACTTGCATCAGCAGGGTAACTTAGCAAGAATTGCTTCTTTGATCCACAAGTATGAAACTACATGTAACGCGATAACAGGAGAAAAACTGATGTTTTCTATTGTATTCTGTTATCTATAAAACATTCTAATGTTAGGAAAGAGAAGATCAGCTACAGGGTGGATGGATTCAATTGCAAGTGTTGATGAGTGCACTGTTGATAGATCAACATGGGGAAGATCTATCTTGTTACTATGAGTCAAAAATAACTTTGTGGCACATAATCAATATTCTATGTGTTGCTTTATGTCCAGGTCCATGTGTCTCTTGGCTCACCACAACAATTGATAACCTGATTGTCCCCAGCAATGAGGCATGGTAGGTTTCCCTAAACTGACTGCAGATAATAGGGAGGGAGCTACCTAGCTTAATCTCATTTTTGTTGAAACTGCTGTTGACAGGAGTATGTCCCAAAAATGGTGACCCAACCACTGGAAAATTCTGCAGTAAATCCAAGAAAAGTGAGATTTTTGGGTCTCAGAAATTAAACTGCCCAAATTAGACAGAAACACAATAAATTAAAAAAGGGGAAAGACAGCATTTCTCTTACAACATGTGATCAGGGGAAGCAAGGCCACTGTTTCTTTGTATATGGCCCACCATTGTCTAATATTTTACCTCCAATAATTCAATCGCTCCTAATAGCATGTTGGAAAGCAGTTCAAATGTAATTAAATGACTTTTAATTAAAATCTAATTGTGGATGGAGGGGGCTGTTTACATGGATGCTGCCTTTGGTAGATTTAATATAGATAGATTTAGCGGATTTGATATAATTTTACAAACCAGCTAACCTACGGTATGTAGTGCAATAAAGACAGAGTGGTCATCATACAAAAACTATGTCAGTCTTACATTGAAAGTAATAATACTTTATTTAGCAAGATGTGCAAATATTTTAGTTCAATATGGTAATTTCAAGAGTTCTGATTGTGAAATAAAGCTTGGTGTTTTGTATCATTTTGAGTGTTTCCACTGATCTCAGCAACATTAATCGAGCTGTTATACAGGAGGCTTTTAAACATGTTTCATCTTCAGTAGCAGGAAACTAAGCTCTTGGTTTAGGATGGACAAGGTGATGTGGGAGATAAATGTTACAAAAGGAGTTGAGCATGCAACCCCAAAAGAGTTTACTCAGTGCTGACCTAGATAATAATTGGTTTTTTTAAAAAGCAAAAGGGAATGTTTGCAATGGAACTTGAGAGCACAAGCAGCTGGATAAATAGGCTGCATGTATTATATTGAAGCTAAGTAATATAAAGATAAGTGTGCATGCAAACCTTTTGCACCAGCTTAGATTATATGAAGACCACTTATACAATGAGTTTTTGGTTTTAAATTTTTGAAGAACAAGAACATCTCTGCAAATCTTTCTGTCTACCAGAAATCTTGATTCTTCCTTCCAAAATGGATCCAGATGTAGGCTGCTAAGGGTGGGGGAAGGATTTAAGGCTTAGAGTAGTATTGCTTTCAATTCTAAATTTCTATGTTTCCATTACCATTCTTAATAGTGCAATATGCACCAAAGCCCCACCATCAACATTATCACTGATCATGCCCCTTCTGCTGAGAATCTCTTATTACCAAATAGTTTCTTGTAATTCTCCAGAAGATATAAAGACTGAGTTCAGGCTTATGATCATTTAAACCTCATTTCTAGAACTGGAAATAGAGTTACACAATGGTCAACTGTATCAGTAAGTATGCTATTATGCTACACCATACTTTGCTAATAGATTACATTCTTACACAATCATAGCACCATCTGTTGGCAAAGCGAGGAGTTGATATATTGGTAACCTTTAAGAATATCAACTCATTGTAAATCTAATTTCTCATAGATCACAATTTCTTAATCAATAAAATCAACCTTGGTTTTATTTCCTCTCTGTAGATAAACACACACAATAAGAATGCCTGCTCGCTTCAAAAAAAAAGAGGTGCTAATACATCTGAATTTCTTCTGAACATTAAGATGACAAAATGTAAGAGCATGTGCACTAATATTTAAAAAACTACTACAATGTGGTATTTCCATTTATATTACCTCAACAGACTTAGGAGCATCTTCGTAAAGCAAACTTATCGCATAAATCTATATTATTTGCCCGAAGAACCATTCCGAGCTCACATCATCTATCCGTAAGATGCTTTGGGGGCAAATGTTTCAAGATAACATTTTGTATACATTTAAGGGATGTCTCTAGTGTGCAGAATAAAAATAATGCTTTTCTATAATTTTTAAAGCATTTACATAAAGTGTTGAATGTGCAATTATTTTTTCTTGTCTGCACTAAGGCACCCCACTCTGCTTTTTATCTGTTATATAATTATCAACCTCTAACTTAGAAGGGGATGGGACATCTCCCTTATTGTTTCTGGCTATCTGGCAGATGTTATGGGTGCCATCAATCAAGGAACATCATCTTGTGAGTCCCAAGAAATGAACCTTTTCTGTCATGATGCCATTCGTTTAGAACATCATTCCGTCAGAAATTAGACTGGACCTGAACCTTTCACAAAGCTCTGAAAACATTTTTCTGTTCCCAGGTATGGGGATTATTAATTTGAGCCTATAAGATGGCTATGTTAATTGTTGTTTGATTGCTTTTTTTTTAAACTTTGTTGCTAGTTGTGTATTTTACTTTGTTGTTCGGTTTTTAAGTTTAATTGCTATACGCTACCAAGAACCACTATGTTGAGATGACGGAAACATGCAATAAATAAATGACATGCTATAAGGACAATTTTTTGAATCTTGAAAAAACTATTACTATTATCATCTAGTTAAATATTATATATTGCCATTGTCTCTACATAGTGTCAGTTGTAGAAAACATGGTTTTTTTCTCTATGACATATTTTATTTTTAAACAGGAAAAGTGAACTCATGTCATTTGGCATGCAAACTTGTATTAAATGAAGTTTACCTGTAAAGCTTTCATTGAGGTCACAATGCTTTTTCAAAGGATAATTGATCACCACCTTAGGAACTTGTGCAGTTATATTCAAAATTCCACTATGAGCTTTCCCAATCACAATTGGAGCAGGAGAATTTGCATGTCCTGTTGTGAAATGACCGCTGATTTTTCTTTTAGGTGTTTTTAATGAACTGTTCTTCTAAAAGCAGAATATATTAAAAATCAGTTTAATGAACCATGTCACTATATATACTGATATAAATTTAATATCCTAGTGAAAATAGTAGTTTTACATTTATTTCAATATAAGATCTTTTGAGAAAAGTCCTAATTGGCCAAGTTGTATAGGCTGAAACTGCACCATGTTTCTGATTTGCTTCAAACAATTCTGGGACCATAAAAATAAAAACAATATCCTTTCAATAGAGAAGAATTCAATAATGTGAAAACAACATTCTGGAGCAGAACAATCCAGGAAACATTGGAAACATCTTTTACTCCTTTCCAGATGACACTAATCCATTTTTTATCCAATTCAATTCAGTTTTTTTAAATAAAAATTGCAGAAAGGAAGCTATTTTTTGGATTCACTATATGTCACTTATTTACTTTTTAAAAATTATTAGATGATCTGTAAATCATTTGTCTGACATGGCATAAGGTTTCTTGCCTGAGCAGGGGGTTGGACTAGAAGACCTCTAAGGTCCCTTCCAATGACATTCTATCCTATCCTATTCCAGGAACAGCTATGTCTTATGCACTGTACATAAGTACATAAGGAAAAAAAGAGAATTTTTCAAAATAGAATAGTTTTAAATAACTTTTAAAGGAGTCTGTCCCTAATTATAAAAAGTTAAATATAACTGTACAAATGGTAGAGAAATATATCAGGAATTGAAAATGAAAATATTACTATGTAAATAGGAAAAAAGCTGACTCTGATGTACTGTCAAAAAAGGAAATGTAGTGTAAATATTTTGAAAATGTGTAATAAATATTTAAAAAAGGAGTCTGCCCTACTACTCACTGTTAACATCTCCCATAGGAGCACATATCCTATGACACATATACCAGAAGTGGAGAGGTAGAGCAGAGGAGTATTAAACACAGAAGTTCTTGCAATGAAGTAGAACTTTTTAGAGTCTTTTTATAAGTATTAAAATGCCAAGTTGGAGAAGCTGGAAACTGGAAAAAGAACAAAAGTTAGAAAATTCATAGAAAAGCACCTCAAGGCTGAGACGACTTTTCTAGGATATCTGCCAGATCTGATGGGATAGCAAGAATCAGGCAGCGATGGGCTGCAAAAGGAAGATTGTTGAATTTATATAGGTGAGACACAAGTAGGGAAGATAGTTTAGCAGACTGAAAGCCTCAGAAGTTCAAGGAAAAGCTGACCTGGGAGAAAAGACTGGGAAGAACACTCTTGCATTTCACCCAATACTTTATTATATATTAGTAACATTAAGCATCCATTAATCAGGACCACAAAGAGGAAGGGAAGCTAGTAAAATAAATTCTCATGTAAGGAGAGTTCTCACATAGACATTGGACAAGGACAGAGAGGTGGGAATGTGGAATCAACAGAATAAGAGTCATGGCTATTCTACTTTTAGCTTCCAACCTTAAACAAAGTCCCTGAAGGGAAAAAACAAAGAATACAAATATTCCTTTGGGGAGGGGGATGTTTCAGAGTGATAAAAACTTAAAAACTAAAGGTAAAAAAATAAAAGAATCAATAAATTGTTCACCAAAAAGAGAATTAAGTTAAAATAAGATAAAGGGCAAACCTTTAAAAATCTAAAGGATAAGGTTTAAATCGGGTACAATTAGTGGTTTTGGTAGGGAAAGGACTCTGAATAGTCTTGAAATATAAGGTTAATCTACACGAACACATAAACATTAAAATTTGAATTATAAAAATAAACACAATTCTTAAACCTTTTCCAAATAATTTTCTTCTATCAAATCAACTACAAATATTATTGTCACAAATTTACTAGGTATAAACTTTAAAAATGCTATCCCAAAGGTGGTTTTCAAAAGGCAACTTTTTTTTTCCTTGAAAATATTTTACTTCTTATCCAAGAAGCTTCTTCAGAATTGAAGTGAAACGTTTTCAAGGAAAAAAACCAAATTCAGTACCTTTTGAAAAGCATTTTTGGGACAATCATGATCTGAATGATTGAGACTCTCTGCATTTTATAATACTTCATTTAAATTTTCAAATTACAAGAATGTCTAAATTTGTATTTTCAGTTGGCATTGATTATTACTAATTCATTTGCAATGGTTTTTTGCTGAAAAAATTAAGCAACATTTTTGGCTTAAAGTTCTCATCCTCATGACTACAAGTTTTCTTCCTCTCCATACATAATAAAACAATACAATTCTTAGTGTAGCTCCTCTTTGAAGAAGGGGAACAATGCCATCTTTCATTTGCTGCAGATAAATGGGCTGTAGGTCAGTTGATATAATTGTGTGGAGACTAGTGGTCTTATTCAACATAGCACTTTCATTTTAATTATGGTGCCAGGGTCACCCCCTAGCATTCTAAACCAAAGTATTGATAATCTCATTGGGCACAGTTATATTTGGGCCCTGGTACAGGACAATGTATTTTTACATTGTATTTTTTCCATGTTACCTACATTTCCTTTCAATCTTTTTTTGCTGCTCAAAAGAAACAACATATATCTCAAAAGCTATTCAGCAACTGCCTCATTTCTTTCATAATAAACTGAAACATTCATGTGTTGTTTGAAAAGCAGTATAGTAACTGGAAGGCTATTACAATCATGCTTATTATTTCTATTGACTAAGAAAAATCAAAGCATGGAAGTTCTTATATAATTGTGATAATTATATCAATTTAGAAGTATCAAATACATTTCATCAACACATTCATAATATGATGAAATTTGGCAATATCAATATTTGTTAAATATTTTAATCATTTAATATACCTTATTTCAGTAATTAACACTGCTTTGTAAGGCTGCTAGATGCTGATATACATTCTGATTAATTGATTTCAGGGTTGTTGTTTTGCCTCAAACCTTATTACTGGAGAAAGCCATCAGTCTTTTGCCTTCAGCAAGGAAAGTGAAATTTTACATTTCTGAAATTTACATTTTTTACTTCAGCTATTTCTGTTAGCTGTTTTTGAAGCAATTTTCAAAAATTATTTAGCTTGCTTTAATCTGTGTTTTGAGTGGCAAGCATGGCTATTTGAAATTGCTACTTTTTTGCCTATGGATAATATCCATATCCCACATTTCTCATGGTTCCTAGATATGTTTTCTTTCTATTGTTTATTACATATAATTCATCCATTATTTTCCCTAATTCATTTTAAAATTTCTAAAATGTGTATTCCTACCTTTATACTTCATCATGGCAATTCAGATATTTTCATTCTCCAAAATGTTGCACTAATAGAACATACTGCCTTCAATTAAAAGATCTTAAACTGTTTTAAAATAGGTTGAATTTTTCAAACTACCCCATATCTTCTATTAAAACTATTGGTGATTTTCCATAAATAAAAGGTAAAGCACTGTATCTAGAAATACTAGAGACAGAATTTAGGATTAATAAAGTATCAGAATGATCTCCTCAGTACTTGGAATCCAGATTCTTTAAGTTGAGCACTGGCGAAAAATTATACAATTATCTGTTTTGGCTATACCTTTGATGATTTTGAAGCCACTTTCTTCATTGATCTTGTTTTAAAGCCCTGTTTTGAAGCAGACTTCAGTTGCAGTTTTGGAATACCTTGTTTCACTACTTCTGCCCAAGACTTCGCAACTAAAACAACAATTGTTGAAGATTATTCACCTTAATCATTTTTAATATCTGATAATCAAATTATACTGTGTTTGAAACATAAAATGTTTAAATTCTAGCAATAGATACAATTGTAACACACCCATCAAGTTGGCTTCAGAAGCACCACTTCGTCTTTTGGAGTGAATAGTACCCATAACTCCACTTTTTCCATGTGTAGAACTTCTTCTTAGAGTACAGGGTTTGCTTTTTCCACGTGTAGAACTTCTTCTTGGAGTACAGGGTTTGCTCCTTAATGATGAAGTGGGGCTAGATACTGTTTTTTTAACTTCACTGAATAAGCTATTCATATGCATCTCTTGTGTAGTGGTTTCCTCACTCTCTGAAGGTTGATTTGCAACATGAGGATCAGAGATGCATTGTTGCCTCTGGGGTGCACTATGTGAGTCAGCTTGCCTTGACACAATCTTTTCATATTGCTTCCTCTCAAAGGAACCCTGCAGGAAAACAAATAGGTAACACACACACACAAAATCAAACTTTAGATTTTGGACAAACAACAATCATATCTATTTCCTTCAGAATTTATCAGAATGAATTAAACAATTAGATATTCACAAAAAAAAACACCACACACAATATTTTGTGGCTTTGCTTTTGAAGACTATGAGGGTATTACTATTAGTCCAGAGCGGGGCGGCATATTTTAGGTTCCAATAATGGGAGCAGATTACACATACATTGAACAACTTGCACTGATTACCATTTCAGCTCCAACTACAATTTAAAGTGCTACAGTCAATATTCTTCATAACTTGGCGCTCGGGTATCTATGGAAGATCCTCCTCTAACCAGATTTTATACAATCAATTACATCATTTAGAGAGGGGCTTTTTATTTTTAGTAGCAGCACCAAATTATGGAAAGTAGATCCCTCGGATAGATTTTAGGAACTTATTGAAAATGGAGAATGATTTTAACAGTATTTCAGTAATATCACCAGTACCTCTTGTCATTCTTCCTTCTCACTTCAATTTTGGTTTTCCAATTTAAATTGTATTTTTTTTTCATTTTGATTTTTTTACTGTAACATTCTAACCAATAACAGTCCAAAATATGTGATGGTATAAAAATCAAATAAAATCACACTACTTAGCTCTAAGCCTTTTTCATTTGCCAATCTTTTAATATATATTAAAATTAACTTCTTTTCAAATCTATTTTCAAAATAATAACATTCATCTTTAATTTTATGAAATTATGAAAAGATGTGAAGGAGTAGATAAAAAAGGAGAAGTCGGCTATTTTTAGGCATTGTCCCATCTTCATCAGACCACAGATCTGAACATTCTGGAGATGGTCAGCAGTTTTTTGGGAAATAAATAATCCAGAGCAAGGAGTGATTCATAGTCTAGCCCTGGAGCAGACCTCCTTGGAATACTGTCCCCAAAGACAGAACTTTCTGAATTACTTTCCAGGTATCTAGAAACATTCCCAAGCTCTCCACTTTTCTGTGAAATAATTTTGAGAAATTTGCTTTCTCAAATAAATATTTGGTAAGCTTTAAAGATGAATGTTATTTTGAAAATGCCCCAATTAAAAAATAAAAGTCAACAGTATAAATTCTGATTTCAAACATCTTATATAAAGCTACATTTGTAGGTCATCCACAATAACCAAAGGTGGCTACTTGTATTTCTGCTGGAGAGTGTTTTTTTTTTAACAGAATATGAAATATTTACCCAATTTTGTTTTGGGAGTTTCTAACAATAGGGATAAATATTTATCAACAGATTTATTAATTTTATTTATTAAATTTATTTGCTACCCATCTTGCCATTACACTACTCTGAAATAAAATTGCCAATTTTTAAATAGAAGAAGCATTCAGGTGCAATATATCACCAACTCCTCTCAGAAATAATTCTAGAGAAATATTTAGGTGTACTAAGAAGTGCATAGCTTACATTCCTCCTCCCCATTCCCAAAATATTTCTAAATTCTATTATTTAAAATTTCTGATCAATTGTTTTAACATAATACAGATACATTATTTAAAATACAAAGCTTTCAGTATGAATAGTGAAGTTTAAACAAACATATGTATACATATTGTTGTGGGATCAAGAGCAATTCTTTGATTCAAAGGTAAATATCCCTAGCAATCAGTTGTTCTGTCAATCAATCCCTTACCTGTATTACAGACTGACTTAATTCTGCAGCTTTTTTCAGAACTGCTCGTGGTGAGTTTCCAAATGGCATACTTAGTCTCGCTGGAATGGCTCCTTTTTTAAGTGGCGAGTTTGGAGGTAAGCGCTTATCAAAGAGTTCAGGACTCAGTTGACCACCAAAAGAAACTCTCTTCCTCTTTCCAAGGGATTGGACTAGAAAATCTAGTTCTGTACCTCTACGCCTTTGAGGTGATTTCTTAGCCTCTATAAATGAATAGTAAATTATAGCAAAGTGAACACAATGGCTTTCATCATTACTACAATTAAAAAGTTTGCACTCAGAATTGTTTAATTTTAAAAAATTCTATAAACTTTTTACACTTTTGGTATCAATATTTTCAATCATAACTAAGGCACTAACATTTTAAACAACTGAATCTGTTTCTACTAACAATATCAAACAAACCAATTAACTGACAGAAAAAAATAAGCTGGTAATTTTTTATCTTAACCAAAGTTACTGGGGACAGCAAATAACAACTATAATTTTTTGATATAAATTGTATTTACCTGACTTTTTATTAAGTGGACATAATACATTCATTTCAGAGACAGCATTAACCTTGGCTGATGTTTGCACTCTGCTTTCATAAGAACTGGAAAAAGTAGATATATCGTTTTTCATATTAACATTCTGCTCATGGTTTTCTGTTCCTATTTTATTTTCATTTGTAGGACATTTTGTTTCCAAGTTTTTTTCAGGAATCTCATTTGCCATTATTTCACTGGTTTGGGAAAGATCTGCTGGGATTATCGATTCTTTATCTATTGCCTCTGTACAAGAATATTCATTTGAAATAATTTTATTTAGTTCAATGTTATTGCAGTTTTCACTAGTATTAAGATGAAGTGAACTGAAAACAGTACTAGAATTTCCATCTTCTGAATCTTTCAGATTTAGCACTGCTTCTGTAACCAGTTCTCTATTTTCATTTGTTTTAGAAGATATATTTTCAATCAAAATACCAGATTCAGGCTCCTGCCCACTAACTTGTACGGGACACTCTTTCATTTCTTCAGAGCTCTTCATTTTGTTCAGTGAATCTCTTTCAACCCCTGTCCTTCTGGACCTGGAAGATCTTCGAGGCTTTCTAGAACATGGACTGGAATAATTTTGAGTACTCTCCTGGCTAGGCTTTACTTTGGGCAAAGTATTTTCTATAGATGTGAAAGCATCTGTTATGTTAAATTTGTTAAGGCATTTAGCCTTTTCTGTATAATCCAATGACAGTATACATGATTCAGGGAAATGCTGTGCACTCTGCTGATTGGCTTTAAAATGTGCGCACTTTTCCAATTCATTCTCTTCTATGTTCTTAAAATCTGACTGATTTGCACCTTCACATTCTTGTTTCTGTTGCATATCACAATTTTGAGTGCTTGATTTTTTAGATTTCTTCTTTTCGAATGTTGGTATTGGACTTGCTACACCACCATGCTTTCTTTGAATTTTACTATCTTCAGATTGTTCAACTTTAGTTAACTTTGCTCGATTCACTGCAGACCTCCTAGATCTTGAGCGAAATACATCTTCCATCAAGGTCTCATTACCAGTATTTTCCTTTACATTGCCTGTGCCATCTTCATGTTTCATTAATTCATAAAGTTTGCTAAAAGGAGACAATTCATTTGCTTTTTCAATACTGTGCATTTTGTACTTAAATTCAGGTGGGTCGCTGTATTGTTTTTGAAGTTTCTTCTCATTTCTTCTGGGAGAGCAAGTTTCACATTTCTTGCCTACAGGAATATGAAACAGGCAGTTTTAAAAATCTGTTTTCTTGAATAAAGTTAAAATTATTTTTGAATCATTATATGGATAAAGTACTAATCAGAAAGTAATTTTTGAGGAATTATGCAGACGTTTACAAATCCTTAGAAAAAAGTGCTTCACAGCACACACGGGTGTGTACAAAACATCTCTTTTCAAAGCAGTCTTTTTTTTCAGCCTCGAGCAACAGCTTTGTAACCTGTTTCCAACAATATCCACTTGCTTGTGACTGCCCGCTTTGAAAATGTTCTCAATGGTAACAGCTAGAAACTGTTTAGGAAGCAACTGTATAAATCTGCAAAAATATATCACTTTTTTAGTGATATTAAAAGATGTGCTTTGGGCAGATCTGCATACATTACAATTTACCTCCTTCAAATAACTTGCATAATTCTATTAAATTCAACAAATCAAAACTTACAGAAGCCAAATTTTATTTGTAATTGCCAAACAATATAGTATAAATATATGCAAACAGATTATTTGCAATTATCCAAATCACTTACCTTAAACATGGTTCTAATCAGTGAAATTTAAGGAATAGATTTGTTCATAAGCTATTTTATGAAAGTTACTTAATGGACAAGAAAATATATGGGTCACTCTCTAAAATGTAATTTGCTGTGAAATATTGTTTCTAATATAATTTTAAGACAAGCCTGTTTCTCAACTCTTCATTATCGTGGTTTGATAAACTGGGTCACTAACAGGCTCAGAAAATCATTCATCGATGAAACCAAATCCATTCATGTATTTTAACAGCAAATTCCTAATGGCTGCTTTCATTTGTTTTACCACTCACTGGTAAACACATCCTTTTTATTAATAAAGTCATTAATATAATAAAAAAATTATAGAAAAGGAACAAAAAAAATACCAACCAGTAATTGGAGAACTTTTGTAATCTGAGTTTTGTGGGTGCAGCAAGTCCATCTGTTGCATATGCTGAACATGAAGAATCTGTAACATTAAACACAATGCAATAGAACAAGGAATTTAATGCTTCTTTTAAGCTTTCCATTTTTCTTGTAAAATAACTTTCCACTGATAATTTCTTAGAATGATTGAAAAGATAATATAGTATTTTTCGTCTCTCATCTAAAGCCAAGAGTATTATGCAATCTGTAATTGTCAGGACTCAGCACTAGAATTTTGAATTGAATTTTAGAATTCAATATGGACATCCACTGGGTAAACCATTACTATTATTTCCAAAACTCACGAGCTTTCGAAAAACTATTGGACCCCCTACTTCAAAACTTCTATGTATAAAAACTTAATTATTTACAGTGAAAGAAACATATTTACAGTAGTTCTCTGAACATTAAGTGCTGTGCAGATACATTATGCAGAATCTAAGGCTGCAATATAATACCATTGAGGAAAATTCCAATTAAGATTAGATTCTGTATATATGAAAACTAATACCACTGTCTAAATCTCAATGATACATTTATTGTCTCCCCTTTCAATGTTCCATATATGAAACCTCAGTTCAACAGACCTCAACATAACAAATTACGTAACTAAAGAAATTATGTAACTGACATAATTTAAAATAATGTAAATCAATACTTAAGTCTTCTCCCTCCTCTTAAATGACCCATTAGTTTCAAGTTCATCTTAAGATCTTACAGGCTTTGTCTTTTACTTTCAATTAGATATTCTAACCCAGCTCACGATCAAGTAGAGAAACTATTAATAATCTTTCATAAGTCAAGTGTCAACTTACAGCACTAACTCCCTTTCTTTTTCCTTGTAGAAAATATGAATGACAGACCAAAGGAAATATCTTAATTTTCTAAAGCCCAACACCAAAACTAAATTTTGTGTTTCCTATGAATTATAATTATAATATAGTGTGGAATAGAATGACTAAAAATGAAATGTAACTGGTAATGATCAATTACTAAATCAAGTCAAAGAGCAACATACTGAAGCATTTATTAATTTCTACATTTTTATTATTGTCCCCTTCTCCCAAATTAAGAAAAACATGATTTTTATTTTACCTGTAATGTTTCCTTCTCTTGAGATCTAGAAAGTCTCTTCTGAGGAAGTGGGGGAGGTGGATATTCAAACCTATTCAAGTAAAAAGATTAGTTAAATTAAAATTAATCCAACTTTTTTTCCTATCAAATTCTTTTAAAATCTCCTTGATTTTTACGTTTCTAAAAAGCAATGGCTGACATACCCTATTTCTAGCACACCCATATTTGCTTATATTATTGTTACATACCTGAAAGAACGATCAATAATTGTCAGTATATCTCCATGTTTTAAGTGTGTGGGATCTTGAAAGTGATTCCCATTTAGCTGTGTTGGATTTGCAGAACTCAAGTTAAACAGCACTGCCTAAAAATACATAGTAATAAAATTATGTATATCCAGATCAATCAATGAAACACAAGTACCAGAAATATTACGACTGCATAACAAAAGTAATAATACATACCTCTTTATTTTCATTGACTTCAATTTTACAATGTTCTTTAGAAACTTGAGGCAGCTGGATTCGAATATCACATTTTTTTTCCCTTTAAAATATAATGAAATTATTACAAGGTTATCAGTTCAAATTATAACTACATGCTCTTCTACATACATCTCTTAAAATATATTGTGATCTCTATCTAATTCATTTCCACTGAGTATAACAAGGCAATGCAGCTGTTGCTGAAGATGCATTGAGACAACCTGATTTTTAGGTTGAGTTTTAAGAACTTCTAAAATAAATGGTTAGGTTTTTGATTAGACAAATGTCTTGCATAAATATACATCGAAGCAGATCAAATCCATTATATGTGACATGCATTGCGTGACTAGAAAAATAATATATATCACAATGAAGGAGTGCAGGAAAGTAAGTTATGACAATACCTAAAACTTATGCCATAAAAAGGACAGCCTACATCACAGTTACACAAAGAAATTCCTACATAAATAAACCCTTATCAATTTAAAGTCCTACCTTCCAAACAAACAAGAGCTTGCGGTGAGCGGAAAATGATTTCCATCGGTCCCATTTCTCTTAACAACAACAATTTGGCCAAAAAATGGCATTTTCAATTTGTATATCTTACCTCTAAGGAAAAAATAAAATGAACATTATTGCAGATTTCAGCACAACTTGGTGACCATATGTGGAAAATTCATGGTTGTGTATATTGTTTGCTACCACAACTGAGGTGACAGGTCCTTTTCTATTTTTTGAATAGAAAAAAATTACATTATATTATGTCTACAGGAAAAATGTGTTTTAAGTCTATAATGGACTTCCGGCTATCAGCATTGTGTCACATCCCCTGGTCATGTGATCTGGGTGCTGGGCAACTTATTTTCACTTATGAAGTTGTCAAGAACCCTGAGAGCATGGGGTCACCATCTACAATCTTCTGATGGCTTCCCCAGAAAGTCAATGAAGACTTACTTAACAGTAATTTGTTTGTTGACTACTTAGTGCAAGTAAATTTTTAAAAACCCAGGAACTTAAATTGTGAAAAAAAATCAAGAGGGAAAAAGAAAAATCACAATAATCCATTAATGTGATGTAGAAGGATTAATGCAGTCTACATGTTTTACTTTGGACCCCAGAATTTATTCATTTTATCATCTTACATCTGTCTGTATTAGAATTATAGTTAGCAATCTCAGTTGCTTTAAATATTAGATGGATATTATCTTATACCAGATAATCCTCTTAATGTTTTCTGGAATGAGAATGCAACCTAGGACAGAGTGGTGGGTAGACTACATGCTGCTCCCCAATGAACTATTTCTGACAGAATATTCAAAGACCTTACCAGGCTTGCACTTTGAGAATCTGAACTACTCACTAGGTGAACTTGGATTTCAGGCCTCCTGGAGCTGGGAAGATACTTTATGACATCAGAACAAGGGCAGGGGAATTGAGATGCAGGCCAATGTGTAGTATGAGTAGCAAACTCATAAGTGATGTCTGATCTTAAGCTTGACATTACCTGCTTGAATTAGATGCTGGGGAAGTTTCCTGCATGAACTGCAAGTTTACATTTCTCTACCCACAGCTGTACCTGTAAAAGAAAAAAAGCATAGATTAACTCAGAAACCGAAGCCTTCTGTAATAAGGAAAAAGCAATAAACCTATTTATTGAAAAACACAATATTTTTCTTACATCTAAAATGGATATCTATTTGTACTTAACCCTTCTCTTCAACTAGGTTCACCTAGTACAGGCAGAATACATACTGTTTTGTTGTGTTAGATTAAAATAGCAAGCCAATCACAGCACCTGAAACATTCTCAGAATAGCTTTGTTTTATATGAAAGTTGGTACAAAACCAGTATTGGTAGAGGACAGGATAAAATCTCCTGTAATGTGGACAAATTACCTGAATTAGGATCACTGACACCAGCTAGCTTCAGCTTGAAACATTTGGGAAGTCGATTTGGATGGTTTAAAAAGACCAGTCGCCAAATTCAAGGATAAAACCATTCAGATCTACCTATAGCATTCTTAAGCTAGAGCATTGTGCTGATATCTGCTGGAAAATTTCATTAGCAGTAATTGTATACCACATCATAGAAATTACATCAAACCTAGTCTCCACAGTGCTCACCAAAATGCATGATTCAAAGAACTGTAACAAAGTAGCTGCCGTTTATCTCATAAGGCATAAAACCAGTTCATTCCTTTGTTCCTCTTCTGCTTCCGTTTCAAGCCACGGTATGTTATTTTTTAGATCGTACGTTAGCAAAAATAAATCATTTTCTTACAGTCTTAAGATCTGTAGGCGTCCTGTTAAGGACCACTAGCGAGCTAAACCAAAAAGGCCCCCGTCCCGTCCCCCCCATTAAATATCCTGCACATTCATTTCAATTGCCCTCTAGCCTGAACACCACCGCGGACAACATCGCAGTCAGAAACTCACGGCGCCTCCTTTTCTTTCCTCAAGCCTGGCACATCTCGTTTCCCAGCACCAACTCCTTTGCTTCTTCCTTCAGCAAATCACCCCGAAGAAACCCCGCCCGCACAGCAGCCGTTGTCACCCGGCCCCGCGCGTTCCCCGTCAACGGCACACCCGGGACCCCCTCTCGCCTCCGAGGCAGCAGCACCACCGCGCGCGCGCGCGCGCCAAATCTCCCCTTCCGCTCATTCAAACCGGCCGACTCCTCCCCGCCCTCGGAGGCCGCTGCAGCCTCACGTGTATCCTTCCGCCCGAATCTCAAGACTGCGCCGGGCGGGCGTTAATTCTTCCTCCCTGTGAGGGACCGCATTACCTGGATCCCCACGCGCTCATTTGCCGATGCAGACCTTGGACAGCTTCTTGAGCGCAAGTAGAGCACTTCTACCACCACCTGTGAATTTGGTTTTTTTTAAAGCGATCGACGGATTCTGATTGGTCAACTGTGTAGTGATGTCAGGACAAAAGTAATCCAATAGGGAGGGAGTCCGAATGGGCTTCAATTTTTAAACATAGGTTAGACTTTTCCCCCCACCCGCGTTGCGATACACTTTCCTTTACTATTTTGAACTGAAGACTATATTGTGGCAATCTATGTTTTTTAAAGAAATGCTCAGCTCTGCAATGGATCCCACTCCAAAGGAAGGGGAGGAGGACGTACATGCATCAGTTATCTCATGCTTATCATATTACCATAATGCACTTTACATGGATCTGCCCTTGTTTTCTGGATGCAGTTCAAGATAGCTATCACCTTTTAAAGCTCTTCAGATTATCTGATAGATTGCCTTCTCTTACATTCATCTACCTGTCAAATACAGTCAACTACCTCAAGGTCCCACCCCTATGGGATTATCACTTAATAAAGCTTTGGAACCTGGTAATTTCAATAATCTCATGACTCCAGGTATTCCCTCCCAGCAGAGATTCACTCAGCCTTGTTCCTTTTCAGCTTTAGGGAAATTTTGGGGTATTCAGAATTGAGTGATCTACAAACCAACTGACTGAATAAATAGAAAGTAGTTGCTAAATACTGGCATAATAGTTTTGAAATTTTTCACTTTTAAGTCATTTAAAAAGCAGAAAATGTCGTTAGTTCTTGGGAGTATTTGATTTTAATGTTATTATTACATTAATCTATCTTCATTCTGTGCATTGCTTACTTTTGCACCCTTTTGCTCATGAAGACTTCAAGCGCATTCAAAAATGCAAAAAATGTTCTACTATAGTGACCAGCTAAGCTTAGATGACTTTATACTCTTTGCATGCTCTTGGTTCCTACTGATGTACATGCCTTTATGTATGATAGATTGTATCATCTTCAAATGTTACCTGAATCCCTCTCAATCTACTGGACAAAGAATAGAAAGAACATTCAGATCTAAAGTCAATAATCCACTATCAATGTTGCTTTCTCCCTTTCCCACATCCACTCCCCAGTCTGTTTTTACTTTTTCACAGGGGGCATTAAGGCATAAACAAATTTAGAAGAGGCTAATTTCAAAACATGTTTAAATTATGTCTTCATGAATTTATTAGAATTTAGCATTTTATGCCAGAAAGTATTCCTACTGTGAAAGAAATTGAAGTAGTTGTGCATCATGTATGAAAAATTAAAACACAGAAATTTTTTATCCTCATATTTCTTTCAATCTGGACAATCATTCTATTGTGTATTCCAATGGAACAACCTTAATGTCAGAAGTATTTTATTTTTATAGAAACATTTTATTTTTCCATCATAGCAAATAATGTGTCCCTGCTATGACTTTACCAGTAGATGGGATGGTACTGCTGAATACTCTTCCATTCTAATAGAACTTTTGTTTTAATAGATGATTTTTAAAAATAAGCAACTTGGAAGAAAGTTCAAAATGTTCAACACAACAGCCACTTAGCTCAGCAAAAAGCAATTGAAATCACACAGACAGAGCTTAAGTATTGGAAACATTTCCTTCTCTCTGACAATACAGTCCTTCTTGTATAAGGACACTGACATCCGTGCAAGCTCAAATGTAAAAACAAAAAAAGTAGACACAATTTGGCATTAACTGCCTTGAATTGAAAACGATATTAAATCAGTATGAGCAGTTTGTTGACAAATGCACAACAAAAGCAAGAATGTAGCTTTATTTTCAGAACAAAACCTCTATCAACCTCATTAGGAATATTTAAAATGCATAAAGAGCACTTTTCATTTTCCATATTTACAGGTTCTATAGAGGTAGGAAAAATCATGAAACTGTACTTCCAAGGAGAGACATCACATTTATCCATAAATTGAAGCTTGCTCTAAATTCTCCATAGCAAGAAACATAAAAAGAAATCTTGTTTATTCACAAGCCAAATGCAATATCCCTTACTCGTTTATTTTATGAGTTGATCTAAAATCGTCTTAGGACTGAGTAAAACTTTCTACAATATGGGCAAATTAAACTAAGCTTGGAAGATGAAATCAGGCAGTTTCAGCTTGGAAACGCTAATTGGAAATTAGGTTTTTATGATTTAATAGACCATGAGCCAGATTCAAGGATAAAGCCGTTTTAAAGCTATATGTGGCATTCTGTAAGGTATTGTGCTGATTTCTGCTGGAGAATTTCATAATAACCGTATACCACGTCACAGAACCGTTTGAAAACACACCAAAACCTCGTCTCTTCTTAACACAGCGCCCACCGAAAGAACTGTAAGAATAACTGCTATTTATCTCAAAAGGCACAAACTCAGTTCGTTCATTAGTTGTTCTTCTGGCTTTCGTCTCAAGCTACGATTTAAATTATCTTTTTTAGATCGCACGTTAGGAAAATAAAATAAATCCCTTTCTTAGATACAAGTCTACGATCTGCAGATGCCCCGTCCAACGGGGCATCTGCAGATTGTAGACTGTATCTAAGAAAAATATTTGCTTTTACTAACGCACGATCTAAAAAAGATAATTTAAATCGCCACGTGCGATAAATGTGCTCTAAGCAAATCAAAGGAACCAACAAACCCTCATCCTATCTTTAAATATCCAGCATCACCATTCAGTCCATTTCACTTGCCCTCCAGCCTGAGGACCACCGCGGACAACATCCCTTCCCGCGCACAGGAGGCATTGTCACCCGGGCCAAGAGTCCCTCACCTGTCCTGCGCGTTCCCCGTCAACGGTACACCCGGGAGCCCCTTTCGTCTCTGAGGCAGCAGCCCCACCACGCGCGCGCCAAATCTCCCCTTCTGCTCATTCAAACCGGCCGACTCCTCCCCGCCCTCGGAGGCCGCTGCAGCCTCACGTGTATCCTTCCGCCCGAATCTCAAGACTCCACCGGTCGTGCGACAGTTAATTGTTCATCTCTTTACCTGAATCCCTGCACCGATCCACATCTTGGACAGCCCAGGAACTTCTTAAGCGCAAGAATCGCATTTGGATTTTTTAAACGAGCTCGGCGGATTCTGATTGGTCACTTGGTAGTGATGACAGTGCCAATGTAATCCAATAGGGAGGGAGTCCAGAAGGACTTCAATTTTTAAACGTATCGTAGGATAGGCTGGGAAGTTTTTTTTCTTCCCTACCAGCGTGGCGATACACTTACCTTTACTATTTTGAGTGAGAGACTCCAATATTGTGGTAATCTATTTTGTTTTTGTTAAGAAATGCCCCACAAAAATTCCTTGAAGAAATTAGTAGAGATGTCATCTGGATTGCATAATACCGAGTATCAGCGTGTCCCACGTTTACATTTTAGATAGTGAAATCATAACATAAGTCGGGGTCTTCAAACTTAAAACTTGCAAGTTTTAAGACTTGTGGACTTCAACTCCCAGAATTCCTGAGGTAACATGACTGGAGGAGGAATTCTGGGAGTTAAAGTCCATAAGTCTTAAACTTGCAAGTTTGAAGACCCTGACCTAAGGAGTTTTTAGCACCAATTGTATTTTTTTAAAAAGTATCAATGTTATTCTGCCTAATATGTAAATTTTAGTGTAGATGAATTTCAAAATATACTCGTAGGTATTCCTATTAATACACTTAAGGGAGCCCTTTTGGTCTTTTCCAGTCCCATGGTAATGAGATAGCATTAGTTTAGAATGGCTATCCCATGGTGAAATCACAAACTAAATACCATGGGAGGTGGTATTTACAACATTACAGCAAGGAAGAAAGGGAGGAAATGGATTTCTTCAAAATCTAATTTTCCAGTCTCTAGATTATCGCTTTTATAGCACAATTGCTACTCTTCTCTCCATGTTTTTAGATAGTCTTCCCCTTTCTCAGGACTGATTTCAGACTGTAGTAGTTGGGCAGAATAGATCCTGCATTTGGCCTATCTCTGTGGGAAACTGCAGGATTTGGCACTCCCCTATCTTCTATTTAATGTCTACAGGAGGCCTCTGGGTGAGCTTCTTTGTCAAGGGATGAAGTCAGTGGTGGGATTCAATTTTTTTTTACTATCAGTTCTGTGGGTGGGGCTTGGTGAGTGTGGCTTGGTGGGCGTGGCAGGGGAAGGAAAATCTCCATTCCCTCCCCACCCCACTAACCTGCTTTCCAGCTCCATTCTCCTTTGCAGGGCAACAAAAGAAGACCCAGCTGATCAGCTAGGATTCAGGAGGCAGAGAATAGATGGGGGTGGGGCCAGGCACAGGTGCCGGTTCTCCGAACTACTCAAAATTTCCGCTACCGGTTCTCCAGAACTGGTCAGAACCAGCTGAATACCACCTCTGGGTGAAGTCTACGTTATACAATTTTCTTCCCTGGTAGAGAGGTTATTTCCAGCCCTTTCAACATTCAGAAGCCCCTTAAAATCTGACTATGCCATCAGGTTTGTGATTCCAAGAAATCTTGCAATGGTTCCCTTACTGCCGTTAAAATATTTTCTTTCCTTTGTGCTTTTGTTATAGTTTTCGTAGTTTTTATGTTTGTTTTTAACACATATTTTCCCCTTTTAGTACAGTACCCAGAGTCATTCTGTACTTCTGTGAATTGGATAGCTATAAAAAATATGATAAATAAAATGTGATAAGTACTGTTTTAAAATCTTACATTTAACACATGGAAAACTTTTGCTTTGGATTTACATATATAAATGTCTTACATGAACATTGAACTACTTTTCTTTCAGACTTGGAAATAAAAACTGTCTCAGATGTGTTAATAAAACTGTATGACCAAAGGTGATCAAGCT